TCTTCGAGCGTTCGGTGAGCTGTTTTCCTTCTCGTTCTTTCTCCCCCCCCAAAAAACAAAAAACATCTGGTAGCATGTTCTGCCCAACAGAGGGCTCTTCCTCTCGCAACGAATATCTCCTCGTAGCATGTACGTGCTAAAGGGATACCTGTCACTGTGAGAACGAGCCGGTTGGGAACTATGGATATTCAGGCGCCCCCCCCGCACCCTATTTTTAGCATTTTTACGTCATGTCGTACACACCCGCGCCTGTTCAGCTCACCACGACATCTTCACCAGAATTGCCGCCAGGAGTATACCACGAGATGCGCCAACCAAATCTATGTAGCGTGTGTGTCAGACACGATTGTCCCAGCTGTGCAGCCGTCGAAATGTGTCTGTTGAGCAAGTCCATGGCAATCGACCAGGGATGTGAGGTACTGCTCAGCCAGCCCTTCCTCGTGTGTGTGCGGAGCATGTGGTTTGTTGATTGGCTTCGTTTTTTTGTTCTAGCCGTGGACATGACGTTTGGTATTGCTGCGTTGGGTGTCGGCAGACACAGGTACAGGCTGCTGTTGATGCACTCGCCGATGCGCTGCGACTCCCTTGGGTGCGTTACTGCTCCATTTTGTTGCGTTTGCGAAGCCCCTCTTAGTTTTGTCCCTTCTCCCTGCGTTACCTGTGCCCCCTCTCCTCGTGTTTTAACTTCTCTGCCCAGAATGTCAACACATGGGTATTCTTCGCCTCCAGAGCTCCCACGAAGAAACAGTGCGAGGACATCCTGAAACACCACGTTCTACCGAGCAAGCCTGTGGCCTATGCCCAGATCATGAACCTCTGGAAGAGGTCTGAGTGGGCTCACTCTGGTGCGCCCCCCGACACCGCCATCCAAGACGTTGTCACGAACAACATTTCGAAGCAAACCAACTCGTCGATTGGTGTCGAGGTAAGGCTACTCGTCACACGATGGTTCGTCGTATGTGACTGCCGGGATAGGTGTCGAAAATATGAAAGTACCACCATTCCAGGACGGGATGTTCGTTCCGTTTGTTGTGGACCATGTATGATCGGTAGCAGGGTTGGTTGGACAACGAGCCGCGAAGACTCGAACACGTTACTGTAGATTCCATGTCAGGGACACCCACTCACTCGTCGGAAGGCAAGTGCACCCGTGCGTGGCAGAGAAGAGACAGATGAATAGATGTTTTTCGTTTTTTTTTTTCCTGGAAAGAACTTGAAAATAAGGCTTTTTCGTGGACGTGACTGGACACGAGTACACGTGCGCCTGCCTCCCACGACCCCTCCACCACACACCCCCGCGCATTCGTGCTCGAGTTGTGGGTGCACCCCTACCCCGTTTTGGTGTTTCTCTTGTACCACTGCAACGCCCCGTGTCGACCACAGCAAGTAAGCAAGCATGGTTGGTTTCGTTTCAAGCCTAGCTTGGTCATGTTGCAACTTATTCGGCGATGACTTGTCACAGGTTAGGAAGCTACCGCCATTCGAGATGATGAGGAGCATACTCGCTGATACCGCCAAGAAGTTCGCCCACCGTGCCACCCTCGGCAATGGAGCATGGACTCCCTATGCTGCCGCGACGTTCGAAGACCAAAGGAAGAAGTCCGCCGGGTAAGTGTTGACAATAGTGGAGAATATACAGCCGCGTTTGGGTTTTTCCGTGTATGGGTATGTCCTCGTGTGGTCGAAGGGACAACCTATAATAATCCGTGCAGGACTCTCTTGTACTTGCACGGACGAGTGGTGGGTTGCCAACGGGTGGGAGTTTCATGTCATGTTTGTAGGTGCACGCACGCCGCCGAGATGCACATGTAATGTACTCACATGCACGCCTTTGCCACGTCCATTATTCCAGACTCATCGCCTCCCCCACGGGCAACCAGTTCTACACGGTCGAGAACACCAATCTCGCCACCCTCAACACCCGCGGCAACAGGGTCCTGCTGAGGTGGGGCGAGCCGGGGCAGAAGACAGAGTGGTCCTGCACATGCGGGTTCCCCGCGAGGTTCCACATCCCTTGCTGCGACGTCATCGCCTTGGCTAGATGTAAGCGATGTACCTAGTGGGCACAGCAGTAGTCATGTTACCGAAAAAAACGATGAACGTGAACCTCGTGTTGCCAGCAGCACTGTTTTTGAGTGTACTGTCGCGGAATCTATCGGAGCACTTGCGTGAACCTGGTCGCTGAATGCCCTGTGTCTGTTCGCTTGTCATCGTGTCGGGTCTTTGTTTTTTCTGATTCCGGTGTGTCTGTTCATTTTAGTTGTTTCCTGCGTGTTTTTTTTTTTCATTTATTTTCCGTCTCCTGTCGCTGTCCATGTTGCCCCCTCCTTCGATACACGCAGCGGAGGACAAGATGGACGCTGTCATGGCCCTGATACATCCGGCCTATCGCCTACAATACCACCGTCGGACCTACGGCGACGACGCGTACCAGGTCATGCTGCCTGTGCCGTCCACGCTGGAGGAAGATGACACGCTCCTACCTCCTTTCTGGGTGGCTGGTCAGGCTGGCGCTCCGAAAAAAAATCCGGGCCGAAGAAGTACAAGAGGATCCCTGGGCGCGGGGACAAGAACGCGTCGTCGTCGTTCAACAGGCGAGTTTCTGAACTCGGCCCGACTGCATCCGGAAGCACGGCGGCCCCCTCTCTGTCGCAGGGGGGTGCCACGGCGGCTCCCTCTCTGTCGCAGGGGGGTGCCACGGCGGCTCCCTCTCTGTCGCAGAGGAGTGCCACGGCGGCTCCCTCTTCGTCACAGGGGGGGCGTGCGGGCGGATCGGTCATTGTCGGGGGGATGGTGATCAACTTGGCACGCTGAGTGCCGGCCGCCGAATGACGATGTGTGTGTTGCCGTTTTTGTCCGTGTCACGTACTCCGCGATGTTTTCTTTCTTTTCTTTTCGTGCCAACCCTGTCCAGTGAAGAATCGGGGATCGCGGGCCTTGACACTCGTCTACCCAACGACCAAATGGGTGATGACGATAGTGAATAATGGTGGGCAGGGAGGTTTTATTTCTTTTGCGCTTTCGTCTTTCTTTCGCTGTCGTGTTCCCTGCGGTATGTTGGCTAAGTTTGGCATGCATGGCGTACGAAAATGTGCTGACCCTTCCGCTTTGATTGTGCATCATTGATTTGGATTGTGCATCGTTGATTTGGAGCACACACCCTCTGCTGAGTAGGAACGTCCGGGTACACGTTGCTGCTACGCAAGGGAAATAAACGAGCGTGTCGTGTTGATATGTAGATGCTGGAAGAGGCCCCTTAATTTTGGTGTGGCATTCGAGGTCCTTTTGGAGTCCTTTTGAGGGGGGGGTGAGGGGGGCGGGGCGGCCACCGCGTTCCTTTGAGAGAGACGCGTGTTCTCAAGACCATTTCTTGTTTATTTCCGACTTTTTTCTCTCTCTCTCTCATGATTCGCATGTTTTTGGGAAAACCGACGCGCAAGTGTTGAATCGAGACGAAGTAATGACTGCTGTGTTGCCACAACGCCAAGTTCATACGATGTATGACTGAAAACCTAGTCTGCTAAGGTCATCCATGCATGATGGGTCCTTTTCGGAGGATTCCTGAGAGAGGAACACGTGAACGCAGCATGCGTCAAACACCTTGTCTGTATGGACTCTTTACCTGTACGTTCATTGAGGAAACTAACCATTTTATCTTGAAATATGACATCTACCTCGATACTACACCACGATCATTTTCTCAAAGATAACCTCCAGGCCACGCAAGGCATTGAGCCTGGGACCCAGTCGAGCGAATTGGACGTTGACCNAGGTCATCCATGCATGATGGGTACTTTTCGGAGGATTCCTCAGAGAGGAACACGTGAACGCAGCATGCGTCAAACACCTTGTCTGTATGGACTCTTTATCGGTACGTTCATTGAGGAAACTAACCATTTTATCTTGAAATATGACATCTACCTCGATACTACACCACGGTCATTTACTCAAAGATAACCTCCAGACCACGCAAGGCATTGAGCCTGGGACCCAGTCGAGCGAATTGGACGTTGACCGTTGTTTGTGCACGCCACCGCCGTGTGCTCGATTAACACCCAAACTTGCATTACACCTGCATGCACGCACGGAAAAACACAGCACCTGGCACAGCCAAACAGGTATTATGCATAATGGACGAATTGTGGATCCGTGCTCCCATCTAGCTGCCTGGTAATATGACTAGACTACAACAAAAGCCCTTGCGGAGCAGCGCGTCACAGCGCAGAGAGGGTGTGTGTGGGTGTTTTTGTCTTGACATTTTGTTGTGTGGTTGGGAAAAAGAGACAACACTGGGAACAAGTTGGTAAGACAATGTGTAGGCATCTATCTGTAGCTATCGACAGCGAGCTGCTAACATGTCGCAAATTAGAGACACACTGCTATATATATCTTGCAGGTTCACCTCCACACCACAAGCATTCTCATGAGGAAGGAGGACCCGATCGCCCTCGGTGGCCGTTGGTTATTTTCCTACTACGTATTTTAATTCGTGGGCCCGGGCCCCTCTCCTACAGGGGGTCGAACTCGCTCGATCCGCGAGTTAGCTCGCTGTGGTGCTCGTACATTGGGTAAGGACAGAGAAACAAAACGGGCACGACCTGCCTCATGCTTGCGAGGCACAGCAGCAGCGCAGCAGCAGCAGCGCAGCAGCAGTGCAGCAGCAGCAGCACAGCAGAGCACGACGGTTGGTCGCGATCTACGGAGGAGGCTGTCGGAGATTGGTACCACCCTGCTGTGTGTGGTGTATGTGCGGTACATGGTGTATCGTGCGGGTATGTGCGGTACACGGGTTGTTATGCGGGTTTTAGATCGTCGGGCGCCAGGAAAATATGACCATTTCTGGGTACAAAATTGACCACTTCCGGGTACACCAGTAACCATTATCGGTACTCCAGAGCGTCCTATTGCCAGAAACAGTTGTACCCGATGGGGTTTTCTCCCAAAATGAGTACAATGGTTTTTCGGCCAATCAGCTGACAGCCTGGGGGTGCAAACGTCTTGATTTCTAAGTGTACCCGAAAGTGGTGATAAAGTACCCGGATATACCCGTTTCTGGTTTTTGGTCGGTCTCTCTGCAATCTTCTGCGTTTACCCCCTCGTTTTTTTTTTTTTTCTCCCATCATCATTGGATTCTGTCGTCTGCCCCTCTGACCCCCATCTTCCACTTCTAACTGCTTCTACCAGCTGGACGTCCCAACAGGGGTCACACAGGAGGGGGGGGTTGGACCCCCTCCTGCGGTTCCTGCCGGAGATATTTTTATGGCAAGAAGGGTGCAGCAATCCCTTCCCTCGCGACTTATGAAGTCGATCAAGTTCACTAACAACGAGCTTTGCAGCGCGTCGCTTCCAACGGAGACCAAGCGAGAAAAAACTCACTCTGTCGGGACTCGAACCGATGACCTGGCCCTTAGCAGGCTACGAGGCTACCCACCAGACCACCGGGGCGACCGTGTGTGACCCTGGATGGATGTAGCTGTACGAAATTGTACACTGAAAAGTGTAGTACCCAACATACGCTGAAAAGTGTAGTACACGTCTCACCCCGAAAAATAAATAGGACGAAAACACACAACACTCTCTTCTTCATGCAAGGTCGAGGCCCGAGGGCACTGGAGCTGTGCCGCCGCCGCTGCTTGTTTCTCGCTTCTGTTAGTTTGTGGGGTGACAGAGCAGGTGCATTTTCGTGCAGACCGATTGGTTCGGGTTTTTGGGTGTTGACCGGTTCGGATTTTTGTTGTTGTTGTTGTTGTTTTTCACATTAAAACTCGTGTCGCAAATAAATGTGCTGGAGCCATCAGAAGATTTAAAGAACACACAAGCCCGAGGTAACACCGGCTGTGATGTGATAGGACTTCAGGAGACCCGACGAGAGGGGCAAGGTTCACTTGCACACGATGGGTACGTGATCATGTGGAGTGGCGCCCGTGCTGGCACCAAGGACAAGAGGGGCGTACACGGTGTGGGCATGGCGATAAAGGAGAGTGTGGGCGAGGAAGGTATAGGACGGTGGAGTGCATTAGCCCCAGGCTGATGAAGGTGCGTCTACAAAGTGGTCGCACGTTGATCTCGCTTTAGCTGTTGCCTTTGTTTATGTACGCCTGGCTGTCTGCCCATGTGCCGCCTCTTTGTCCTGTTTGCTCCGTTACTCCCATGCCCTGGTGCGTAGTGCCTGGTGCTGGTACTTTACCGTTTAATTTTTTCTTTAGGCAGGTGTGGGAAGCGTCCTCCATTATTTTTGTTTTTGTGTTATTCATATTAACAAACATAGTCTATTAGTCTATGTTTGTTTTTCTCCCATCATTGGTCTCTCTCTGTCGTCTGCCCCTCTGGCCCCTTTCCTCCACTTCTACTAGCTAGACGACCCAACCGGGGTCACATAGGAGGGGGGGGTTGGACCCCCTCCTGCGGTTCATGCCTGAGGTATTTTTATCGCGAGAAGGGTACAGCAATCCCTTCCCTCGCGACTTTCGAAGTCGATTATGGTTTACTAACAAACGAGTTTTGCAGCGCGTCTCTTTCATCCTAGGCCAGCATTTATTTAGTGAGAAAAAAACTCTCTCTGTCGGGACTCGAACCCATGACTTGGCCCTTAACAGGCTGCGAGGCTACCCACTAGACCACCGGGGCGACCGTGTGTTGCGTGCGGGTGGGTCTTCGCAAAAAATTGCAGAATCAAAAATCGAAAATATATCGGATTTGTAGTTTTGATTTCGTAGTTTTGGTCTACCCAAATACGCCGCCGCTGAGGAAAAACCAAAGGAATCGTATCGGGGGATCGGGGTGCGCTACCCACCGCGTACGTACGTATTTGTGTTGAATGCCGAGGTTCTTGTCGTGGTAATGTTTTAAGCCAGTAGAGCTGCGATCAAAGTGTCGTGTTATTAATGGGGTGTTTGCGGACTGGTGTTGGGATTTCATCTTCGAAGTTGCCAGGATGTTCGAAGTTCGAGACAGTTCCGTCAAACTTGGGGCCCCGCAGATAGAACATTTTGGCCTTTTCGTGTAGCACAGGGCGATGCTGGACCCGTCGAGCCTAACGAAGGCACCGTCAGGTAGCTATTAGAGTGCTTGCTCGATAATGGCGAAGAAACGGGAGAAAAGGAAGTCGTGTGTCGTGGTTTAGGGGATGAAGTGTTTTTCAAAACTTTTGTCTAAGAGACGGAAGGCGTTTTGGGGGGGCGGGGATGAAGAGTTGCCAGCCCCGGAAACGCGGGCCCATGTTGTAGGTTCGCTACAGCCCACCAGAGTCCCCCTGCGCAACTGCTTAAGCACGACAGCTGTGGTTAGGTACACTGTGGAGGCCCTGGGGGTGTCAGAAATTGTTGCCTGGGAGTTTGGGTGGAAGTTTGCGCGTGAGAAAGGCAACCGCCCCCCGCCAGGCCTACGTGCACCTCGCTGTGTTGAGGCTCGGCGCCAATTTTGAGCACAGCGCATCGAGCAACGACCTGACCTGAGCCATAGAGTGCACATTCCCAGCTTTGCATTACACAAGAGGAAGTTGGCGCTCGAGCACGCTACGTTGAGAAGTCGTTGATTCCCGGCATGGCTATGGAGGGTAGTTTTTCCGCATTTTCAACGAGAAAGCGGGGTCGTGGTGCTCCACCTGCCTGCGGCAGAGCACAGCACGGCAAACCATCGGGCGGGCTGTGGCTTTGTTTCGCGTGCGGGCGAGCTGGAGCACGTGACGGCGCCCCTGGACAATGGAGGCACGTGGGGCGCGGAGAATACTGGGCTGACCTCGATCAGTGGGTTAGTGAGGTTGGGGAGGGATGGCAGCACGAGAGGGACTTGGTGAAGGAGCCCCTGACCCAAGCGGATTGCCTCTCCTGTCGGCCGGACTGCGTGTTCAACCTCTACTGCAACTTTAAGCTACAGCTGGCCAAGCGCCAGAAGGGCTCCGGCAGCACATTGGAACCTGGACAGCGAGCTCATATGGGTCGATATCCATCGACCCCAACGCAGGTGCGGGCAGGACGTCGGTTTGTACACATGTAGTTTAGGTGGTCCTGTTGAGCAACACTGCTGCTGATGTGCCTGCCTGATTCGCACTGGCTCCTCCGTGTTGGTAGATCGGGAATGCTCTTCGGCCTGCCCTCGCGCATTAGGTTCGCTATGCATGATGCTGCACCCTGTGTGCGTGCACCCTGTGTGCGTGCTCTAGCGTTGAACTGCCGATGAGGGATAGCCGCGCACGGAAACTACAAGTAGACTAATGCCGCAGTCAGCACTAAAATCAACGGAAATTTACCAAGTACATCGCACACACAAATGACGTGATGTTCTTGATCACAAGGGTTTCTCTCTTTGGGGCAACCCCCCCGGGTACAGCAGTGCAACGAGTAAGGGTACTACCCCGCGCCTACACCTTTCAACACCCACAATCACCGCTGCTTTTGTGTTCGGTGCTTGCGACAAAATGTAAACTCCGTATAAATCTATGTGCAAAAACTGCTTCCGCGGTACTGCCAGGTCGGAGCTCTGCTGGCACATGTGCGCGTGACGGGTGGCGTGCTTGACGCCTGCGGGTCGACGATCGACGCTGTGAGCTCCGTGCTGAAAAGCCATGATCTTCGTGTCACTACCAACGACTTTAACCGAGGGTCAGTTTTTTTTGTGTCAGGGTTA